GAAATTAAAAAAAAAACAAAAATAAAAACAAAACCGATTCAAATATCCTCTTTCTTATAATAAAATGTTAAAATGCCTCAGAGATATCAAAAAACGAAAACTAGACCAAAAACAGTATGCGTTTTGCGTCTACTTAAACAAAAATTAGAGGATTTATCAAAATAATTGTATAATAAATTCGAAGATAAAGATGACGCTGTAACGATAACACAAGATTAAGAACTTTTCATAACCCGTGTATTTCTCTCACTTATGCAGTACAATCCCCAATTAGGTTTTGATGACATCGACTCACACGTGTCCAAGAAATGGTGGACTCAGTCTAACCCGTTAAAGTCTTGAAGTAATCAAATGTTACAATGTACAATACAATTTATTTGAATGCTTTCTGGTTCCAGCTATTTTTGTTCTTCTTGAAGTGATGTTTTGAAAACATAAAACCAGTTAAGTCGAGAGCTGCTTATGTATTTGTGTCCCTTTCCTTTTCGTTACCCCCCTCCATTATATAATTAAGATCTATATTATAAATTTGACGTGTTCCAAACATAGGGCACACACTGGGCTTATTTCCAAAACGTTAGAGAGACATGATCATTACAAATTTTACCCGAAATAATTCATAATTTATTAGCGTCAAGTACACTACATTATAAGTTGTGACGAAATTAACGCTGTCTCTAATGAAAACTGGTTAATTCTCGAAACACTTAAGAATACAAGTCATTCTTAGTCTTTTTGTTTCTTGTCTTTTCTTTAGCTCGTATAATATATATCTTTGTATGTTTACTTCACAATTTCAAAAGATGAATAAGTACACTAAAATATTACTGTTTATGTTTAGAGCTTGCACTAATATATATTTTTTAGATTCAGAGCTTACACTAATATATTTTTGTTTAGGTTCATAGTTTGCACTAATATATTTTTGTTTAGATTCAGGGCTTGTGCTAATATCTTTTTCTTTAAATTCAGAGCTTGCGTTAATATATTTTTCTTTAGGTCAGAGCTTGCACTAATATATTTTTGTTTAGAATCAGAGCTTGCGCTAATATATTTTTCTTTAGGTCAGAGTTTGCACTAATATATATTTGTTTCGGTTCATAGTTTGCCCTATTATATTTTTGTTTAGTTTCAGAGCTTAAATCGTAAACAAACCTCCCATAAACAGCGTAAATCTTTAGAAGTGCTGCGTTATTCGACATTAATTCAAATAATTTTGTTTTTTCCATGGAACAATTTGCACCTGTCACATGATATGAAAACAGTAGCCTGTCTTTACTTTCATTTACGTAAATCCAAATACAAGATGCATAGCATTAGAATCTTTTATTGCGACTTTAATATGAAACAGAGCTAACATCCTGGAGGAAGACTTATCACGA